GAATCCCACAAAAGAGTCTTTTGGAGAGGCCTTTTCTTCCTCGGCAGGTGGCGTAATGGCAACATGTCGGGCTGGTTGTGGATCTCTAGACTGGATGCATTCCTGTCCTGAATACTTTTGAGCAATGACTGTTAATTGGAATTGGATAGAAAGTTAACCGTTCCGCCACACTGTCACTGGACATACTCGAATTTTAAGGAAGGCCAGGCTTTCATATATCGCATTTATGTGATGGGATTGTCTAAAAAGCAAATTTTTATTTGCCATTATAATCTACTACATTAATTATTTTCCTTTTGAGGCCGACTCATCTAATGGTAGGAAACTTTAATCACCATTTCGCCAAGCCTTATTTGTTGTCTCTTCTTCCTGTCTGATTAGTTGCCAGGGGACTGATGAAGCGCCGACGGGCCGGCTCCGCCGACGCCGTTCGAGTCAAGGTCAGCCCAGCGGTCTGGATCGTATGCGGCAGCGGATTGAGCGTGTCCGATCTTTGCTTCCGGCAGATCTGCATCAGTTTGTGCTGCCCGGCTGTGTCAGCTCCGTGAGTCGGTCTTCGCTGGCCAGCGGCTGGACGGGCGGTCAGTTGACAACGGAACGAGGTGCTGGCTGGCCGAAGAGACTGCGCAACGGCCTTCTCTGCGGCGAGGAGGATGGTGAAAAAGGTCAAGTCAGGCGAATACCTTCTCCAGAGGCCAGCAACCCTCTGGACGCTCGCCTCTTCCTCTCGATCTCACGTCGCTTCCGTCGATCACGAGACGGCTGTCATTGGCGACGGCATCTGATGACGGCGCTCAGTGATCCTGAATTGAACTTGAAATGCACTCTGCTCTCTCTGGAACCCTGGAACTCATCTGGCCTCACTCGAATATGACTCTTCTTGTCGCTGCCGCTACGGTTTATAGACCTTTCTTTTCGGTCGGCTCATCAGCCTTCTGCAGTGCAATCCACTCGCAACCGGTGTCTACTCTTTTTGGGCATCAGGTCCGTTCGATTCCCCTTTTCTCACCCTCCTGCCACTACCCTTTCCTCTCCTTCCTCTGTCTTTCTTTGAGCCCGGCCCTAAAGACATCCACCACTGAAGGGTCACTTTCTTTCGGCCACAGTTGTCACCATCGTGACAACTATCAAGTGCTTGTTTCCCTTGTGCTTATAGACTCTCTTCGTCTGTGAGTTCCATACTCTTTGCAGTTACCTCTTGTTCCATCTCTTTTGTACGTCACACTGCTTGTCTGAGTAACAGGATGTAGGCCTTTATTATTATTGTTATTATTATTGTTATTATCATTATTATCACTACTACCTTTATATATATATATATATATATAATAATTATTCTATTATTATTATTGTCTATTATTTTATAATAGTATTTATTTGAATTATATTACTCTTGTATAGTTGATTTTTTTGCATGCAGAAGTGAAACCTACTGAAAAAGCCTGCCTATTTGCATTACCCTCAATTCCATTAGGCATCGTCCCGTTTAACGTTTTATTTCAACGCCCTGCAGAAAGCTGAACTATCATACATTCAATGCAAAAAACAGTTGGATACAGACTAGCCTAGACACTGGCCTTGATAGTCCCATTTCTTGCCCGTCCTCAGGCAACTCATTCGCTCGGGATGGGATTCCTCTTAAGTTATTTTGCCACCTCAACAAGCAGTTTGTTATTGTATTTCCTTCATCGTGGACAGAGGGTCTGTCTCCGCGTTAGGGGGAGCTTGCTCGGTCGTGTAGCTTGCCGTTTCTGTCTACCAGATGAAGGTGGTACAGACGAATTGTCCTTTCATCGACGGATGATCGGAGGTTGTGCCCTTCGATGTTTGCCCGAACAGGTACACTCTCTGTTTACTTTTGGGTGAATCTGGGGTGGCAAGCAGGTCCGGACCTGATTGCATCGGGTAGCCGGTACTGTCGACGTCTTCGCTCGGGACTGTCCGAACGACGAACGCCAGAATGAATGTGTGAATGTTGAATGTGTGTGTGAAGCAGAGTGTGCAAAGGGGGGCATTTTAGGCTTCTCCTCATTGCGCTCCACTTTGTAGCACCCCATTGAGACTCAGGCTCATTGGCCGGACTGTATTTATGGGGTCTGATGAGACCGGGATGTGGTGGAAGTTGCAGTCAAGTCGGGTTGGCATGAATTTTGAGAGGCCATGTTAAGCGACACTCAATAACATCTTGACGCCGGCTCGTATCATTGTTGGGCAATTCCACGGTCAATCCTTGAATCGCCTTTAGCGACCAACGTTGACAGACTTTCCATAATTTCATAGCATCTCTAATTAATTTATTAATTTCTAACTTCCTTTCTGAATATATGAGGAGAATATGGTTTTTATGAAATCCCTTACTGATTTACTACCAATCGTCTGTTGATTTTAAAGGAACAAATTTATTCGGGGAGACTCTCTAAATTAGCTTCACCGAAAA